CCCCAAAACCCCAAAACCCCAAAACCCCATGATCATGAAATTAGTCATTAAATCAAGATTATTTAAATAAATCAAAATATTGATATAATTAGTTCTGTCTCTCTCATTTAAATACGGTATGAGATTGACTCATCATTTTGTTAAATACTTTCTTGGATTTTTATTTTCTTATGTTTTGATCATCTGAGAATACTTCTATATCATCCTAGTCTTAATTCTTGTCATCTTAAATCTGAAATTCAAAGTTCATTTAATTAATTTGATTTTCAATTTCAAAATCATTCATTGAACTTTCATTTTTACTTGTGTCTACTTCTTAAATTAGCTCCCTCTCAATCTTTTCTTCATCAATTTGATTTGAATCATTTAACTTATTAAACTATTTGCTGTCTTAGTGATCAATCTTATTATACCCTACAGTTTCTTTATGGCTCTGTGTTGATTTACCTTAAACATCACATTGAGGAAGTATCTTGACTGTTGAATCAGCGGCTTGCTTAATTTATTTTCTTGAAATCTTAGATTTGTCTATATAGTCTTCATCAATCATCTTTTTATTGAATTTCTCCTTATTTTTTCTCTTTCTAAATCTCTCAATGTTCCCCTCTCTTAAGTGCTTGTTAATCTCTTTATTATTATCTCTTTTTCCTGTGAAGTAATTATTTTTAAGGATATTATCATTATTCCAAACATCTTAGTCTGAATCTTATGAATCATGATCCATTGTCTTTTTAGATGCATTTATTTCGGCATATTTTTACATATTAATATCTTAGTTAGGTTTCCTAACAGTTTTGGATAAATTCTTTTATTTGTTTATTTTAAGTGGCATATTTTCAAGATAGCTTACATCTAATATAGTAGTGTCATTTTCATTGTATTTCTGAGAATTATCAATTAGAGAATTCTAAGTATTTAATTGACTTGAAGTTAAAGTTTGAAACATAGCATCACCTTCTTGAGTTAAAAGATTCTACCTATTAACCCTTTAAAGTTTATCCTGATGATTTATATAATCTTCTTCCTTTATACCAGCTTCAAAAAATTCAGTATCTACCTCTAATTACTTCGTTTCATCAACCAAAAGTTATGAAGGTTATACCCTCTCATCATTGTGTTCCTACTACTTTTTCTTAATTGCTAAGCGATCTTTCATTTTAATCTCAACCTCCTTCATTTTGTTGATGTAGTTGTTGCGTTCTTGTCTTTATAATTCTTTTTCATCAATTTTTATATTCTTTTGCCATCCTATATGCTCCAAAAACACATCTTCTGAGAGATAAGCTTAGCATCTTTCCAGGAGATGCTAAGTCAATACTATGTTACCTTTATCATATAGCTTTTTTAAATTATTTATCGATTTCATGTATTAATCTCTTAGGAGTTAATGTTCTTCATCTACCTTTTGCTGATTAATTTCTTTATCCAGTTGCTATTAATCAAAGCAAAGGAATAAGCAAAGATATATCTTCTAAAATTTCTTTATAAGCATTACTTTAACTTCAGATAAAAACTTCAATATCCAATATAAAAAGAAAAGTAAGTTTGAAATCAATATTACTGCAAAGAAAAACAAGGAGGTAGATTTACCCAAACTAATTCCAGCTTTTACCTCTTAGGGTATATCTTCTTAAAATTCTTAAGGTATATTAGAAACAAAATAAATGCCACAATAAACTGATAAGATAGAAGTGATTAATGACAACGTTTCAAGATCGTTAAGCACCACCAAGAAAAATGGCTTTGTCTTGATATTTAAAATTAAGCATATTATCAATAGCAAGAATACAATGAGCGCTTATGTCATCACACCATAGTTTTAAATGAATACTGCAATGAATATCAAAATAATTTTTCTATACATTATAACGATTTCCCAATAATAAAAATCATGTTTATAACCATTGTATAGAAAGCCAAGTTTCTCTCTAATCTCAAGAGTATTTAGCTTTTAACGATCTCTAGTCAAAAGTACAAAAGCAAATGCAGGAATACCTAAACCCCATACAACTATACTAGGCATTGCAACGAAATAACTCCAAAAAGTATGAATGGGACTCCAGCACATTGTCTAAAGATCCTTGTATATTCTTTGCTCTCCATCCACATTTTTGCAATTGAAATCATCAAACATATATTGAACAATATTAGGATGGATAATAAACATAGTTATGACGAGAGTTGAAATTGCTTTCCCTCTTTGGAACTCAGTTTTCTTAATTTTCTAATTTAAAAACCAAAAGCCGTAACTTGCACAAGCCAATAAAATAGGAAGCAGAGCAAAAGCCAATAATTTTAAGAAAAATGTCCTGAACAAATTACTCTGATCATCTGAGCTACCTTGTCCAGTCATAAAGCAATCAATACTAAAAATCTATGAGGATGATTCAGCAACTGGGGAAGAGCTACTAAAGAAGCTTGTGACTTCCTCTGGCCAGGAAAAATTAAAAGATGATACTAATAAAATCAGCTAGAAATGATTCATTAAGATCTTCATGTAGATGCTTACTGCATTTTTCTTTTCTAATGCTCCAGCCAAGGTTGATCTTACCATCATGACTAAAGCAAATCCGACTCCAAATATTATTGCTATCATTATGATTACATTTGATACCATGTCAGGGCATTTGCTGCATTAAAAATTTCCAGTGGATGAATAATTATCTATACATTATGTGCAAAGTATGCCTCTATATCCTTTTGCACATTATCCAAGAGGCTCATAGATACCATCCTTATAATTTGGGAACCATCCAAGACAAGCTGGAGGATTCATGCATTTTATGAAATTAGAGGATGTGTTTGTCCTTCTCCAATATCCTGGTCTAGGTCCTAAATTGGCACCACCTTCGCAAAACGCTCTTTCAATTGGACATGGTGAACATTCACCAGGTGAAACCATTTTTATGAGAGAGAAGCCAATATTTGCCTCACAGTAAATACATTTTCCCACTTATGTAAAGTACTCTCCTTCAATGCACTCTCTCAGGTTTACATAGAAGTCATATTCAATGCTAGACATATTGTATTTTGTCTGGAATTTCTTGTTTTCAGGTAAAGATTCATCGATTCCGCTTGATGTAAAAGACAATCTGTAAGAATAGCCTGGCGCACCTGTAAACATAAGATCATCTATTTAACTGACTCCAGCATAAGTAGTAAATGATTATGAACCTTCAAGTACTGGGGTATAGGTTAGTGTGTTTTTGTCCTTTACAAATGAATTGGAGTCTACAATAACTCTAAGTTTACTTTCAAAATCATCTCCAACGATTTGGCCATACTTGTCGACATGAGCAAGAAATACTTACGGGATATTTCCTCCACTTCTAACAGAATTAACTTAGTACTAGCTTTCTTGAGGTCTTATTGAATTATTTGTTTTAGAATATGCTTCTAGTTTTCTTTGACTTATTTCTCCAGCTTTAATCTTTTCTAGTTAAAGCTCATATTCTTCTGCAGAAATAATTTTGAGATTTTAAGAGTAAGATGAAATACTATCTCCGTACCAACCGGCTATATTCTTTTCAAAAAAGACATTTTTGCTAATTAAAGGCTCATAATAATTCCAATGAATAGCTCCACCCTTCTTTTAAGCAAAATTTTGAGTAAAGTTTGTAAAACCTGTTATGTTTAAATTGCAATTAGTGTCCTCAGCTCCGCATTCATAAAATATAGCCCCAGCTGATCCAACATTAGAGCCAGCTTTTGATGCTGTTGCATTTAATGATCGGCAGTTATTAAATATTGAATCAGCAATCCAAACATTTTAAGGAAAGCTAAGATAAATTGCGCCGCCAGCATATGCAGTTAAATTATTAAATTTTGTCTTTATAATACTATATTTATCATACCCATCGGAGGATCTCTTATTTAATTAGACATCCTGAATAAAGATGGCTCCACCAATTTAACTTCTTAAATTGGAAAACTTACTCGAGCTTATTAGCATTCTTCTACAGTTAAGGCATTATATTGCTGCGCCTTTTTCAGATTATTCATTAATATAAATATTCTTAAATTCCGAACCAATTACTTCAAGTTAAATACCCATTGCATAGACAGAAGTAGTAGCATTAGGATTTTCAATAATAGTGTCTCTTATGATAAAAGTGTATTCTGAGTTAGAAAGATAAAAATCATCTCCATATGATAAAGCTTGATTGTTTAATAATCGTGATCCATCCTCTATAATCAAACTTTTGAATCCATTCGCATAAATTGCTCCACCACTTATTTTTGCAATATTGTTTAGGAACTGAGATTGCTTAATTAGGATAGAAGAAAAACCTGAGATAAATATAGCTCCACCTTAATATGATATACCGTTAATAAAGACCGTTTTTTCTATTTCAAGTTCAACATCCAAAATGATATTGAAAAATGATCCTAGGGTTTCATCTTGATCTATACGCAAGTATTTATTTTTATAAAATGGTGCTTTGAATGTGCATTGATAAACTTTAACTTATGCAAAACCAAGAAAGATATTTTTGGATTTGTCAACAGCATCATTATCTGTGAATTAAGTCATATTAATAATGGCTTTAGCTGTATTTAGAGAGATAGTATTTTGATAGGCAGAATTGTCTTAGAATACACAAAATTATATTGTCAGATAGTTTATCTGCGAACTTCCTAAAGCATCAATGGCTGAGCTATAGTTCGCAGTGTTATTAATGAAGTCACAAGCTATTACATCAAAATAAGCATCTGTTAAAGCTACGATGACACCGCCCACAGTAGTAGCTCTGTTCTAATAAAAGTTGGTATATTGCGCATTTAAATAGGCTTAAGAATCTAACTTAATTGCCCCTGCTTTGTAAGCTAAATTATTGTGCATCTTTGTTTTCATCAATTGTATATTGCAACCTGTACAGCTGATAACTCCCCCAAAAATAGCAGAGTTTTCATAGAATTCTGATTATTTATCATAAAAATCAATATCTCCGTTAATTCTAAATACTGCACCCTCCTCTAAAATTCCACAAGATTTATAGGTATTTTATTAGGAATAGATTTTGCCAGTACCAGTCATGTAAATAGTATTTTAAGACACAGATGTTAGATTCAAAACAGAGAGTTGATCTATTGCTACCTAGTGATCATAAAAGGTATTGCAAGTAACTTGACTATTAATGATATTGATTTGCATGTCTGGACTAGATGAAAAGAGAAATTGAGAATTAGGGGCTTTGAAATTAGTAGCTTCTGAGTTTGTAATATTGAGAATTTTGCCTCTTGTGATATAGGCTATGCCTCCAGATATCGTGGCTTCTTAGCCAGTCATCTTTACATTTTAAATAACTATAGTGATTGCTGGATGATTCACATATAATAGACCGCCAAGCTTAGCTTTAGCTCCATCAAATTTCTGGCAATTCTTTATAAGTATAGTTGTAGATGGTATAGTTCCGGACTTAGAATTTGTAATACTCATTATTCCGCCTTATGATGTGGCTTAATTTTACTCGAATTAGGAATTATCTATGATTACCTCGCAAGCATTTTCAAATTCAAATGCTCCTCCTGAATCGGCTTGATTGTGAGACATTTCTGATTTATAAATACTGATAGTGCTATCTACACATTTAATAGCTCCTCCATTCAAAGCTTAATTACTGATAAATTTAGACTCCTCTTCGATCAACTTCGACTTCTAGATAAAATAAGCAGATCCCTCAAAGCAGTCAAAACAAGTCTTGAAAGTATTTTTGAAAGAGTATATACCTAGCAATGAATTTTTAAAGTATACTGCGCCAGCATAAGATGACGTTAAGCTATTTAAAGCTTGGGCCACGATTAAATTATTTGGAGCTGGCCTGCATTAAAATGTACTAGTTTTAATATTTAGTAAGATATCCTTTCCCTCTGAATAAACCATAGAACCAAAACCTGTTGAGGGAGTTGAGAAATTTGAAAAGGTTGAGTCTTCAATGTTTAATGTTCCTACTAAGTTATCTACATATATTATTCCTCCAAAGGCAGAGGAATAAGAGTCCTCAATCACAAGGACCTTAATATTAAAATCAGAGATATGAGGAGAGGAAATGTAAAATGCCCCACCTTGACCGTTTACTCTTGCTTCTTGGAAAATGAATTCACAATCTTAAAAGTTAATGATAACTTTAGGCAATAACGAACCTGCATTCTCAAAAAATGTTGCTATTCCTCCTTTATTTACAACTATATTCTCTAGGAACTTGGAGTTCTAGACAAGAGTTGGTGATGAATCTTTTATGTAAAAAACACCACCTTCTTTAGCATAGTTATATTGAAAAATTGTGTTTCCACTTATTTGTAAATCGCATGTTTAACAATAGATAACTCCTCCATAATTAGCTTAATTATATTAATAAATTGACCCACTCTCAATAAGCTTTATCAAATTTACTCTATTGGTCGAAGTTTTTAGGAAAAACACACCACCTTCATTCATATTATAGCAATTCTAATATGAATTATCTTGGCTTTAAATTTCGATAGCATCAAGCAAATAAAACGCGTTTTGAGCTTAATACTTGGGCAAAGGATGATTAAGATAGTATTGTAAATTTGTAACATAATCATAAGAGTTTAAAAAACAGCTAAAAATTACTCTATTTAATTTCAAGATTACATCAACAGCAACTGAATACATAAATGATCCATATGATTCTTTATCAACACTAAATTATTAATAACTACTAGAAGTAGCTATCGAAAGCATTTATAATTCTTTTAACTTTTTTAGATAAAATACTCCCCCGTTTCCTAAATTGGCTTTACTATTCTGAAGCTAAATATTTGAATTCATTTCAACTTTTAAGAGTGAATGATCAAAATAATAGCTTCCTCCATTTTATTTAGCTGAAATATCTTTTAATACCAACATATTAGAAAATTTAATAGCAGATACTATTGGATTTGAATTTTCTGTCACATATATTAATCCTCCGTTGTTTGCCGCATAAATATATTAAACAGATATTCCATCAAGATTTAGAGTAAATTATTCACTCAAATATATCAATCCTCCGTCAAAAGCTTGATGGTTGTCGAAAGCAGAATTTTAGAGAGTAATTATACTATTTTTAGCAAATAGAAATCCTCCCTTTTATGCAGCATTAAATTTGTAAATTGATAACCCAGAATCTGACAACTAAGTATTCTCTAAATAAAAGACACCACCGATTCCACCTATGTAACAATTTAAGACTTTTATTGTTTTGGTTGTGATTGATACAGAATCTTTGAAATAGAAAGCACCTCCGTAAGTGTTTTCTTGATTTGAAAGTTTTGGTTCATTAGTCACGTAAGGAAAAAGTTAACATTGAAACTGACTTGAATCCAATTTTATTACTGTTGAGTAGACTGAATATATAATTGATCCTGATAACTTACTTGTGACTTCAGTTATTGAAGCGAATTTAATATCAATAATTGATGATTTCTAATTGTAGATAAAACCTCCGCTCAAATCAGAATGACTATTTAGGATTGCAGTAGAACTACTGATAGTAAATATTGAAGAAGCTGCATTCAAATAAATACCTCCACCATTACCTTTCGAATAGAGATTTCTAAGAGTTGTAGTACCTTCAATTAATACAGTAGATTGTATAGCATTTGTATTATCAGAAACATATAAAAAGCCTCCTTCTAAGTAAGAGGTTGATCCAATAAGGGAAACATCCTGAAATGTCAATTTCGATAAACCTTGCATGTAGATCGTACCTCCTTATTATCCTTAATTATTTATGAATTTAGTCTTCTAAAAAGTTGCATCAACATCTGTTAGAATAAAAGCACCTCCTAGTAAAGCTGCATTATTCGAATAGGTTGAGTTAATGTCAAGGAATGTAGACTAAGATAATTTGAAGATCGCTCCACCATTAGCTGTATAACAATTCTGGAAGGTATTAGATTAAGATATAATTAAAGCTGCATTTGAAATACTAAAGAGACTGCCGGTGTTAGATGTCCCTGTTTCAAGATTAGATTTGACTTTACTAGCATCGAAAAGTGGTGAACATTGGATTAAGCAATTGCTAATGTTAAAAGTAAGTCCAGGGGTATCAGAGGCCAAGAAACTTCCAGCTGCACCACTAGTTATATTTATTAGGACACAATCAGAAACACTCATTGCTGTGATTTATGCTCCGTTAGCGAATCCTCCAACGCCTCCAGCATAGAGATGATTCCAAGTACAATTACTTGAACTGAAATTCAGCTGAGGATTGTCAATTTGGATAAAACCACCGTTTTACTTAGATTCAAAGTACTGCAGTTAATTCTTACAATTAGTAAAGAAAGCTCTTGCAGTGCCCGAGCCTACACCTTACACAGCCCCACCATTCATTCTTGATTTTCCCTAAGCCATAGCGCATTAGTTAAATACTACATCTCCTGTATCTTTAATATAGAGAATTGAACCTTCCCTTGATACTTGGTCTAAAAACGTGCTGTTTAAGAAATAGGCTATGCATGAATCACAATATATTTATCCTTTAATAATAATTACTCATAAAATTGATACCTTTAAGTCCAGCATTCTGGTAATAATAAGAGCTTGTATCAGTCAGAGTTATACCAAAAGCAATATTATAAATGGCCCCGTCAGAAGTTACATAGCATTTTCTATATTAATTAAACTATGAATTAAATATGCCAAATACACCAGCCTCTAAGTAATACATACCGCCGATTGTGTTTAAATTTGCATCTAGTTTAGCAATGATTTAGTTGTATAAGATTGCCCAATTATCCCACATAGAGAGTGATTAGCAGCTGAAAGTAGAGAAACTAACATCCAAATTGATTAGTGGATTACTATCTCCCTCAATAAAAATAAATGACCCTAGTATTCTTGATTAAAAAACATCAAAGTCTGAATTTGCTATAGTTATTGACTAACTAATAGAGGCTGAAGATATGTAAATAACACCACCATTCATACTTGAACTTATTTTGTTGAATTATCCTTTATCTATATTTAGTGTAGTAATTGGGCCATCGAAATAGAGAAATCCCCCATTAATACTAGCGTGAAAGTCTTCAAATATGCAATTATTGATGATTTTAAAATTATGATTGACCGTACCTCTAAGATAAAACCCTCCTCCGTTTTATTAAGATTCGCTTCCAGTTATAGAAATTTAATCAAGAGTTACCTCATTAGTCTACCCTTCCAAAAAAAGCACACCTCCAGTGTTACCAGTTTTTAAATTAAATAGTTTGATTGATGTTAATTTGACTTAAGTTGTGATGCAATCAGAATATATTGCTCCTCCTCCGTTCAAAGCATAAGATGTTTGAATTTGACTTTAGGAAATCATTTCAATTTATGAAAGCACACCACCAGTTGAGCTAAATACTCCGCCTAAAGAATTAGATGAACTAGAAATTATATTTGCATTATCCAGAATTATCTTTGTATTTGCTGCTATCTCAGTTGCAAATACACCCCCACTTCCAGCTGATGAAGATTTCTCTATAATAGTTCCTGTTTAGATATTGAATATGGAATCAGAACCTTATAAAAATGCTAGACCTCCGGTGCCATCTGCTGTTAAATTTTGAAAATTGCTATCCTAAGTTACCAAAGTCTATAATCCACCTGAGGATGAGTAAATAAAACCCCCAGATAGACCTGAGTAAATGTTATTTATCAAACTATTTTTAATTGTTGTGGTTATTGTTGTTCCTCCAGATTAATATAAAAATCCACCATTTCCTGTAAATGACTGAGAGAAAGTAATTATTGAATTCAATATATTTGAGACAAGTGTCCCAGTACTCTATTGCAGATAAAATGATCCACCATCTTACTGAGATTTAGATTAATAAATCAGAGCATTATTAAGGATATCAATAGTATTTGCATTACCCTCTACATAAGCAAATCCTCCCATACCGATTGTGGCAGTGCTGTTATATATTGATGCATCGTCTATCAAGATTGCATTTTACATTGAGGATTGAATATAAAGGACACCCCCATTAATGCTTGCGCTTGAGTTGATAATTTAAGAGTTATCCAATATCTTAATATTTGAAGTGTCTCCTTAAAAATAAAGAACACCACCATTGGATTGAGATTTTGATCCTATGATTTGAGCTGAGTTAAACAACTAAAGGATAAGAGTCTGAGATTTAGCATAAAAAACTCCTCCATCTGAGCCAGATTTTCCTTAATTTATATTAGAGCCATCTATTTAAATATCAATTGAAGTAAAACTCTCAATATACATAAAACCTCCCAAGAAGTTCGCAATGGTGTTTGTAATAGTTGATTATATAATCGAAATTGAAGTGGAAGCAGTGGTGGAGGGTACAAATGTATTTCCTCCATTCCCTGAGGTTGAATAGGATCCAGTAATTTAAATATTACTAAATTAGATTGAGAGGGAACCAACCATAGAATCCTTAATGAACATCATTCCCCCGGATTAAGAAGCAATATTGTCAATAAAAACTGAATCTTAGATTATAATTGTCAAAGAATCAAGGATTTCAAAAGTAATAAAGCCTCCTGTTCCGGTTGATGTTGTAGTTTGGAATAATGACTGCACACCTGTTTGCTTATTAATTGTAAATGTTGTTGACACCGCAGCTAATTCTTAATAATATATTGATCCTCCGCTAGTGAATGACTTTGAACCTTGGTGATAATGACTGTCTATAATAATAGAAGTAACAGGAGAACTAATAAATAGATCAGCTCCATTTTAAGCCAGATTTTTTATAAAATTATTCTTAATGAGTATCATTGTACATAGCTCACATTTGATGCTTCCACCGCTAATAGCTGCATTTTCCTGGAAAGTGTTGCTATTTAATGTAAGTGTTTTTATTACTGAAGATGTCTGTAATTTGATAGCTGAACTCTCGTATGCTGTGAAACAATTCTAGAAAAAAGAGTTTGTGACAGTAACATCCAATTCAAAAGTATCTGTACTGATATCTATACATGATCCCTAATTGTAGGTTCCTGAAGTGATTAAACTTTAAACTGTCGTTGAGACATATGCACTAGATGAGCACTTGAAAGTAGAGGATTGAATTACTGCCAAAAAATTTGCTGATTATTAAAGATAAATAAATCTTCCTCCTCCATTAGTTAAAGTCGATTGTGGACAGAAAATATTAGTTGCTTAGACATTATTCAATGTTATCTATCCTAGACTCTAGGCATAGAAAATACCACCGAACGCAGGACTGCTTAGATAAAACCCTGCGTAAATTGTAGAGAAAGTAGAGTCTAGTATATTAATTCTTATTAAATTTAGATTAACTTTCGCAAATCCTCCGTTTCCATCGCTCTTAATATCAATGAATGAAGAACTTTCAAAAAATACTTAATCAGAAGTAGGAGCCATCTCAGTTGAGATAAACTCATAATCGATGTTCAGGAATCTTCCATCCACACCCGAGTAAACTTTATTAATACTAGCTCCTATGAATTTGAGAGTCTCTGTCACCACAGCTGAATAAAAATCAGTATAGGGTTTTCGTAAGAGGAAACTGAAAAAAGGAGTTGTACTTTTGCTATTTAGCGTATAAGCCAAATCATTTATAGATGCCATTTGCAAATTAGTAAACGTTGTCTCTTTTGATCTAAGATAAAATGGGGATCTTGTGCATTTCAAACACTGGATGTTAGACATCACAAGATCATTGATAAGTAATTACTAAGCGTCATAATTATATCCCAAGCTTGATATCTTGAAGAACATAACTTAATCAGTGTTTAGCTGATCCTCGTAATAGTAGATCTTTTGAAAATTAGAACCTTAGCTTAGAAAATCTTTGAATATAACAGTATCTGTGGTTTAAAATCTAAAAAGAGGTAAGTTTGAGCCTTATTTTTGCAGGCTATTAGCAGTTGAAATACTTATTAGCCATTAAGTGGTCAGATATGCATTGTTCATTCCAATCTAGTTTCTAATGATGTTTTTATCAAAGATGAATTAGCCATAAAATTCTGAAAAGTGGATAATTTGAGCTCTACTATCAGAAAAGATAGGTTCCATTTGCCAGTTACCATCAAAGGTACAATCTAAAACAGTAACTTAAGCAGTTCTTTCTACATTGATGAGAGACTTTGAAAGTAATGCAAGGTCAAATGAACTATCTTAAATCATATTTGAATAAGATTTCTCCTATGATCCAGCTGAAATTATACCAGATCCATACAGTGTTGTAACTTCTTTGGCCATTTCTCCATTCCCCATAAAGTTTTCTCCTTCAAAATGAGTTCTAGGAGAGCCAATTACATTGATTAATCCCGCAGAGTGTGAATAATAGTTTTCTGTGTATTTATTTTGACTGAAAGTATTTTTATTCAAGTCAATCAAGTAATTTATTCCATTATATGTCGTTGATTATGTATTGTCAATATAAGTAGTAAAATCAATGTTCTTATAAGAAACTGCTGTTGTTGCTTAGTTTAATTATGTCATTAGATATCTATCATTGGCTTCATTTTATCCTTATGCAAAATTTACACATTCAAATTTTATGACACCTCCTACACTATTTGAGCATCCAAAATTCTTAGAAAAAGTATTCCTTTCAATTTGATAGCCAGTGCAAAACAAATTTCCATAACTTGGAATCATATCATAGACTGATCCTCCAAAGGGTCCTCGTGCTCTGATATAAAGGACACTATTATCTATGTAGCCTGCATTTAGGGTAAAAGTATTAGAAGCTATCAAAACTCTCCCCTATAAAGTTATAGGTAAAGAGTCAATGTAAATTATTCCTTTTGTCCCTGTATTTTTTTGAAAATCATTGCCAATAATGTCTAGTTAATAATCGTCATAATTTGTTATAGATATCAGTGATCTGATTTGCAATGCAGATTTAGTAGAGCCAAAGGATGGATAAGGATCTGATAAGGGAAGGATATTTTAATCCATATCAAATGCAACATCACAAGTATCAAGTTTTAAAGTGTTTTTATAGAAGTATGATCCTGTTATTTTAATGTGTCCCAGAAAATTATCTAGATCTACAATCGACCCATAATATTATAGTTTATAACTAGGATCAACATAATTTGCTCCTGATGTTCTACTCTTTAGGTACCCAAAGTTTTAAAACGTAGATTTATCTATTTGCAAGTCAAAGCAAGGAGTTGATGACCCTGGTGTATTTGAGCATACGCCAAAAAATGGATCAAATCCGGGAGGATATAATTGCTATTTTTTAAATATCTCGTTTTATAAATTATTTGCTCTTTCAAGGTAACTTATTGTGAAAGAGTTAACAACTAAGTTCTTCTTGAATATATGATTCTTATTCCTTATTAGACTACCACAAGTATTAAAATTGTCGAATATTGAATTGATGATAATTACTTTGCCTCCATAATTATTAAACTCAATGAAAGAATTTAATTCATAGATAAAATTGGAAAATTTTGAACCCTAAAAAGTCATTTGATCGTTATTACAGTTATATTCAAAGTAGGTGGATTTTTAAGCATTGTTTATGGGCTGATGTCAAATTTAAAGAATGAGGGTCCGAAAGGAATCACACAAATTTCAGATCTAAAATATATTGTTTAAAATTGAATAATACGGTTTCTTAATATATTCACAAGAAGGGGAGCCTGTTAACACACCTGCACTATTTATACTACAGCAAGTCCTTGTGTAGTTTTAGGTACATTTTTAACCATTATCCTAGTCAAACTAATAATCTATTAACGAATCTATTGCTTCAAAGTAGACATTCTAGATTGTTAAACCAGCTCCAACTTTAAAGTTCCAACTATCTCTGAGTTTATAGAGCACTTTCTATAATGCTCCACTTTCTGTTTTCAAAGTTATTTTAGTAGTTTGAGAATGTTTGTCATAAGCTGAGGGAACATAGAAATCTGAGGGGAAATAGCGAACCATTGCGTGATCTCCAGTTTTTAATATTATTTAAATTTCAGCTGACACATATGGGGCTCCAATCTCATATGCTTTTGAAAAAGCGTCCTAAATTGAATTAAAAGGTGTGTTATAAGCCCCTGTTTGGAGAGTAGAGGCTTAAGCATTTAGACTAGTAACTGGTGCAACATATATTGTGTCACTGATCGAACCAGATTTTAATTTACAAATACCCGTGGTTGTTGTAGAACTGCTAGTTAATAGGTAGTATCCATTGTAGCAAGATATGCATGAAGTAGAATCCTAGGTGCATTCATAGCAGTTTGGATCGCATAACTAGCATTTTGAAGTTTCAATTAAAGCTCTCTAATTGAAAGTCACTACTCCATATTACCCAATTCCACAATTGGAGACACAAACTTTTCTAGTGGAATCTACATATCCATCTTTACAGCCAGTCCACTAACCCTAAGTTACAGTGCCAGCGTTATTTATTTATAGGCATCTCACATGTTCTTCGTAATAGGGATTGACTCTAGCACATTCTAGTTTCAATAATTATAAGAATACAATATTTACAATAACAAGGTCTATCTGTTCCAACAACAACTGATTAATATCCATATTTACAAATTTTGCATGAAAGATCCCCGGTTGCTTCTAAGCATCCAGATCCCAGATCTTCAAATAATTATTATAATTTAATTTACAATTATCACAGGAATGATAGGTTGTGCCACTATGTACCATACAGTCTTTACAGAGATAATAGTTATCCTCGCAATAGAGACAATTTAAAGTAGAATTGTATTGATATAACCAGCAGTTGTTGATGCTTACTGAGCCTTACGTTGTCCAAAGTGCTATAATGAATATTTATGATTGTATATTAAAATTTACTGCATTAATTTGCACCGTTTGTGTAACCTGCATTATAATTAAACCTATACTATTATTGACTATGATTAATTTACTAGTTCACAGGATCTCAACAATTTAAACATTAAGCTGGGTTAGTCGAAGAACATTTATAGCATTGCTTTGAATTCGTGCATTCTTTATATCAATTTAATTCAATGCCAATAATGCATACCTTAACATTATTTGATAGTTTAATAAGTAGCTATGCTTGTTGGAGGACCATTTACCCATCCTATGAGCTAATTTTCTCCTGGACAACTTTCACATCCATACTTAATATTACAAGAAGCACAATATTCTCCGCACCCTAATTTTAGCTATATTTTAATATAAATTACATCTACAAGTTCTAGAAGTGGGGTCGTTTATAAAAGATGAGTGAGCTAATTTGCAATCAGGCACACAATAAGAATAAGTTGTAGGAAATTGATTATTATTAGTCTTATTTGCTAATAGATATAGTCCATCAGCACAATTAGAACATTGAACAAATGAACTCCCAGAAACAGTTTATTCTGAGCATTAGATGCAACCATAAATTGTGTCCTCACATTCTAGTTTAATTAAATAAATCAAATTTAAGGGATTAACTTACTAAAGCACTATCCCGCTGATTAGTATTCATCAGTTTAACCTAATTGAAGTTGTAAAATGAAAGTAAATAATTACACTGCATCAGTATATGCTGAATCAAGATTGATAAAAACAAAACATTTTTAATTGCCATAATATACAATTTAATTATCACTTCAGAAGATTAATATAAATAATCTAAATCTACTAGTTGTCCATTTCAATTAAAGATTTTCTTGTGGGGTTTTGGGGTTTTGGGG